GTGGTGGTGGTGGGAGCCTCTCCTGCCTCCTCAGCAGCACTAAGGATGTCTGACTGCAGCTTAGGTCTGCTCCCCGCTGGCAAGTGGACATCCCCTGAGGGCTGCCAGGCTGCCAGAGGGATGTCTGATTGCCATCTTAGTCCCAATCCCCCAGGGAGCAGGCCTAAGCCAGCAGGTGGTCATCCCCCGAGGGGTCCTAGACTGCGAGAGGGCACAGGTCGGGACCCCCCCCCCCACCACCAAGTGCACAAATTTTTGTGCACCGGGCCTCTAGTATATAGATAAATAGACATCAGACCCTTGAACAATGTGGGGGTTGGAAGTGCCAATCCTCTGGGCAGTTGGAAATCCGTATAAGTTAAGTTGGCCCTCCACTTACACAGATCCCACCAACCAGGGATAGAAAATACAGCTGACTCTTGAACAACGTGGGTTTGAACTGCTCAGACCCATTTATACACATAGAAACATATTCAGATTATTTCGTGTTAACAAAAAGAAAAGCATTTCTGGGTGAAAAAAGGTGCTTGGATGTTTGACTAAATGACCTTGGAAGTCCTCCTAACCTAGACATTCTAAATGTTTACATTGGTAATATGTGAACTAAAAGGGGAAGAACTTGCCTTTTTCACAGGAGTAGTTGGTGAGAGATGTATGGTTGCCATTAGGAAACTGTTGTTGGTTTGTTTTTAGGAGGCAGATGAGATATGGAGCACACTCTGAAATACACTGTCAAATGAAAAATGTAGGCAAATGCAGAATAATGTGCTACCGTTTTGTAAGTGAAAATTGTGTGTATGCATGCGCACTTGCATATGCATAGAACTCTCTGGAAGGACCCACAAGAAACCATGACTAGTGGCCTCTGTGTGGCTGGAGGCCAGAAGTGATGGCGCAGGGGATAGAGGCAAACCTCTTTTTAGTGCATATCCTTTTGTGCCCTTTGAATTTGGTGCTTTGTCATAAACTACCCTAAATAAAAGTTAATTAACAAAATAAACGGAGAGGTGCTTTCAGCTGACCTTCATCTTTATATTATCTTCCCTGCTTGATTGTTCTTTCTTTATCATATTTTAAAATCTAGTTCTCCTTCCTTGAGCATCTTCAGAGAACAGGAAAATCAATTTGCCCATTCAGAATTCTTGCTGATAAATGACTCAGTCTGTTTATCTCTGAATCTTCCCTTTTCCCCTCCCGGCTGTGAAGCAGTGTCAGGAAGCAAGACATCAGAACCAGGCTCTGTCCCATTTTCTGGAACTAACTAGCTGTGCTGCTTTGGGTTGGTCACTATACCTCTCTGAGCCTCAGTTTCATCATTTATAAAATGGGAGATGGAGAGCATTAAAGTCCTAACAGTCCTGGCGGTCTGGGACTCTGTTCTATAGAGGACAAGCGAGGCTCTCTCTGCCTTCTCTCCTGACCTCCCTGGAAGGCCAGGAATGCTCTCCTGGGCTCCAGCACTCTGTCTGGCTGTACAGGACACTGCATGCTTCTCCAAAACAAGCCGTGAAGGGGGGAATCATTTATCTCTTCCTCCTATCCCTCCTCCCCTCTTTTTTAATTCCCAACCTCCAGAGACTATCTCTGGCTTGGTTAATTAAGATGAGGCTTCGGGAAGATTTGAATCCTCCTGTTGTGATCTGTTACTCCACGCTGTGTGCTCATTTCCATCTGCTATTCTAATGCCTGCGCCTTCAGATGTTTGTTGCTTTTAGAACTTGATTGAATTTTAAAAGCCCAAATCCTTCATTGTTTGCAAAGTTAAATGCCTGTGCCTTGTTGACCTGCTTTCAATGAGGAGGAACTGATTTTGCTCGTTTGCAATGAAATACACTGTTTTTCCACTGGTCACCCAAGAACTGGTGTGTGTGTGTGTGTGTGTGTGTGTGTGTGTGTGTGTGTGTGTGTATTTAACTGCAGATATCTTACTATGGTAAAACTTTAAATCCAAACACCTCCCTCTCACCATAGGCAATCAATCCCACATGGTACAAGACACCACACGTGAGCCAGACAGCAGGACAATTTGATTTAGGCAGGTGGACCAACATTTTGCCAACAGTCCGAAAGTGAGGGCTTTCACTTTTGAGCAAGGAAAGTGAATATATGTATAACATCAAGCATTGGTAAGTAATACTGCCTTTCCTCTAAAATCAGACTTTTCATCCTACCCAGCACAGGACTAGGCACACAAAAACATTTCGCAGAATGAATGGATGAAGACATGAATGAGTGCATGAACAAACGAGCGAGTGAATGATGGCCAGTCCAATGCCTGTGTAAATATTTTCTAGCTGGCTCATTGTTCCTTGGGAGGGTAACCAAGAGTGTCTAGCATTAAGCTTCTTGGACAGATGCTGAAAACCTCTGAACCTCAGTTTCCTCATCTATTAATCAAAGTTGATCATAAGCGTCCCTGCCACATCAGGATGCTGTAAAGGTCACAGGAGATGATGTTAAACTATCGACGTGAGACACACTGAATGCTCAGCACAGTACCTGGCACAGAGTAGTTTTCAATAAATATTTGCTAAATAAGTACATAAATATATAGAGAAATGAATGAATAAATAAACAAGTGAGATTCCTCTCCCTGGGCCTCAGAGTGTATTTGGTCTCAAAACCTAACACTCCAGAGACAAGATAAATGCTGATATTCTCAGCAACTTCTCCAGCTTAACACACAGACCACACCTGGAATCTTCTCAGGCGTGCCTCTGCCTCACAAGCTGAGCCCTGTCCTGACACCACAGCGTTTCACTAGCAAACCAGGCCCCGAGAGGTGTGGGGCTCCCCGACCAGCCCATGCAGAAGAATACTTGTAGGAAAAAGGGGCAGAGCTGGAGTGAAGATTCCAGGGCACCGTCACATGCCCCATCCATTTACATGTCAATCTCAGAAGTGTTCGGACTTCACTTTCGTCCGCTTCGGTCTCCCAGGTTTCTAAACTACTACGGTCATGTTTGGTCTACCCACTCACTCAGCATTTTCTCACAGACTGAAATATATTTGTTGGTTGGATAACATATCTTCCTGATCACATAATAAATTTTCCAAGAACAGAGCTGTATATCCTAGATCAGTGATGGCGAACCTTTTGAGTTCGGCGTGTCAGCATTTTGAAAAACCCTAACTTAACTCTGGTGCCGTGTCACATATAGAAATTTTTTGATATTTGCAACCATAGTAAAACAAAAACTTATATTTTTGATATTTATTTTATATATTTAAATGCCATTTAACAAAGAAAAATCAACCAAAAAAATGAGTTCGCGTGTCACCTCTGACACGCGTGTCATAGGTTTGCCATCACTGTCCTAGATAATGTTCAGCACAGCATTGGTCTGCTAATAGTTTCAGAAAACTAGTTGAGATCTTAGGGAGCAAGGGGTCCAATCCCCATTTTACAGGCAAAGGGACAGGGTCTCCAAGAGGGGAGATGGCATGCTCACGGCAGGGAGGGAGCTGGAGAGCATTGATAGGGGTGCCTAAAGGCCACACTCACATCTCCTTCTCCTGGTGGAGTTTGCAGGCCTCTTGCTGGAGGCTTTCCAGCTGCTGCTGGGCATCCTGCAACTCCCGGGAGGTGCGCTCCAGCTCCCGGGCCAGCTCCTGGTTGGTGAGTTTCAGCTTGGTATTCTCCGCTTTGGTTTCATGCTTGTCGTTATGCAGGGCTGTGCACTGGCCCTCCAGCTGGAAAGGAATGGGGGACAGAGAGGAATGGCGGGCAAGCACCATCATCAGGCTGGCCTGCCCCAGCCTCATCTAGCTTTTTCCACTTGGGCAGGAACCATCACTGTACCCCTCACTGCCCTCAAACTTTGTCCTGTTCCTTCATTCACACGTATACCCTTCAGGAAGCAGGCAGAGCTTCCAGAACAATCTCAGCTCTCCCTTGTCTCCATAGGGCCCATAGGGCTACGAGAAAAGGAAATTCCACATCCATCTTCGACTCTTTTTTTTTAATCTTTTTTTTCTTTATTGGTTAAGGTATTACATATGTCTCCTCATCCCCCCATTAACCCCCAGCCCCCCCCCCCACTCATGCTATCATCCCCCTGTTGTCCATGTCCATTGTTTTGGCTTATATGCATGCATACAAGTCCTTTGGTTGATCTCTTCCCCTTGCCCCCTCCCTCCCCTACTTTCCCTCTGGGGATTAATAGTCTGATCGCTGTTTCTCTGTCTTTGGATCTGTCCCTGTTCATCAGTCTATGTTGTTCTCTATATTCCACAAATGAGTGAAATCATGAGGTATTTATCTTTCTCTGACTGGCTTATTTCACTTAGCATAATGCTCTCCAGTTCCATCCATGCTGTTGCAAAAGGCAAGAGTTCCTTCTTCTGTTTCCAAATCTTAGCTATGGTGAATTGTGCTGCTATGAACATAGGGGTGCATATATCCTTTCTGATTGGTGCTTCTAGCTTCTTTGGATATTCGACTCTTATCTCAATGATAATTATCATCATCTCATCAATGGACTTAAGATCTAAAGTAAATCCTTCTTGTTGTCCTTTAAGCCAGTTTCTTCTCCTTGGCCATCAATGGAATGGAGAACACTAAGTAAAGGGCATCCTCATAAAACATCCCTCCCAATTTTGAATACTGAGATAAATCTATCTATTACCTTTCCTTCTCTCAGCTGTGTAAGTCCAATTCCTTTAATCTACAGAAGCTTTGAATGGTAGCCATAAACACTGAAAATTCCTAAGAAATAGCTAAAACAGGTCAAACCAAACATGTTCCTAAAGCAACTAAAAACCTGCCTTTGAATGACTTCAGCTTTTCTTGGCTAGTGGTCATGCCTTGCAGAGCTTCCAACCCTCTCACTAGAGGAAGCACCAAACCAAGGCAAACTGATTATAAAAAATTTAGTTTAATGAATGTAGCCAGTAAGGGGAGGAGGAAGAAATGATGAGGGATGTTGTGTGATTCTCAGGAGGCTCCTGTGTAATCAGGTAAGCATGCAGTAAGTAAATCGAGTGGCAATCATTCATGGGAGGGACAACTCTAATTGGTAAGGACTTAATGCATAATAGTGAGGAGGAGAAAGAGTAGGAGAAGCAAGTCAAGGTAAGGCTGTGGAAGGGGGAAGGAAAGGCAGCTGCCAGTTCCTGGAGTTGAAACCATCTTGCTGCAGAGGAAAGAAACCCAAATCCATAGACGGGGTAGCAGCAGGAGTGGAGCAGTCTGCAGCCTTAGCACGGGGTGTCTTCAAACACATTCTAATGCATTGCTAAAAATAGCCCTGTCTATTTAAACTGCAGCAATGTGTCTGGGTCTGTCCAGGGCTGGATTCCTTCCAACATAAGACAAAACAGGAGGATACGTGACACTCTAGCCTCTCCCCTCCATGAGCCCTGGCTTTGGAGAGGAGGCAGTGAGCCTGAGGTTTGCCGAGGTAATCAATCTTTCTGGGGTCATTAGCCAGGCGTTCCCAGCCATAGTGGATGGACACAGTGCAGCACCCAGCCTGCCTGCTGGGAGCTCAGGTGCATCAGAGGAGCGTCTGTGTCTGCATCCATCTGCAGGATGATGGAACAGTCATAAAGGAGGTGATGAACCACGTCCAGGGGGAGATGGGGATGGAAAATCTGACCTTTGAAAAGTCTCTTCCTGCTGGAGGCTCCATGGCCATCCTGGCGGGCAGACAGTACTGTCTGCAACCACCCCCAAAATACCAGGGACTGTGTCCCTTGTACCTCAGCACTCCCCTCCTCTCTTATACAGCATTCAGGGAACAAATTAACATTTTGGCATTCGGGTGGCTCCTGGGCACGATTATACGGGAATGTCTGCAGATACCTCAAGGGAGAATTCTTAGCAACTTCTCAAGTTAAACACCTGGCATTGGAGAAGCAAAGGCTTTATCTTGGGATCATCTCTGATTTCAAATGCTCTCTTGTACAACTAAATGGTTCTTTCAGATTGAAAAAGAGAGAATTCCTTAACTGAATGGCAGGGAAAGTGGGCCAGAGCCAGAGAAGAGGATGCAGTGATGGCAGGGCGTCTGACACAGCATACCCGCTTCTGCTTCTGGGCGAGCTGCTCCAGCTCCTGCTCCTTAGACAGCAGCTTCTGCTCCAGCTCCTGACTGCGGGCCTGAAAGCGCTCTGTGTCCTGCCAGAGAGAGGGACATGTGAGGCCTAAATGCACCTGGGATGGAGACATTTTCCCACCTTAAACCTGCTCAACAGCAGGGCCTGCCCATCCTGGTGGACACTGGGGCCTCCCCATAGCATTCCAGGGCCTTGGTGCTCTGCCAGCTGGTTGGTGTGGCCCAGTGAGATACAGAGAGTGCAAGGGCTAGGTGTGGCTTGACTGGCGATGATGCACCCCTTCCCCCGTAAAGGCAGTGTCAGTAAGTGGGGGAGTACTGAGCAGGGAGAAGAGAACAGGCCTGACCTCAAATCTCAGGCCGTCTCCTCATCTGTACGTTGGGGGGTGGATTATCCTTCCATGTGGATATTCTGTTCCACATTGGGCCTGTCATTTGAACCCTTAAATGACCCTCACTCTGGAAACACAGGGCATCATTTCTTTTGGGTCTAGGTCCTCACTGTTTTCTGACCATGATGGAGATTTTCCCTTCCTCCTGATGTACCTTCCCTCCCACCCTAGAACTGAGCTTCCCCACTCAGGGATGCAGAGGTCCTGAAGATGCAAGAGCAAAAGAGACCTGGTTGTGGGATAAAGAGGAAAGTGTGTAGGTCAGTGATGGCGAACCTATGACACGCATGTCAGAGGTGACACGCGAACTCATTTTTTTGGTTGATTTTTCTTTGTTAAATGGCATTTAAATATATAAAATAAATATCAAAAATATAAGTCTTTGTTTTACTATGGTTGCAAATATCAAAAAATTTCTATATGTGACACGGCACCAGAGTTAAGTTAGGGTTTTTCAAAATGCTGACACGCCGAACTCAAAAGATTTGCCATCACTGGTGTAGGTTGTCAGGATGCCTGACACTCTCAACAGAGCCTGGAATGGTGTAAAGGCCCTGAGCTGGACGTCCGGAGACTTGGGTTCCAGGCCTGGCCTTGCCCAGCTAACTTGCTCATTCTTCTAGATCATGGAGTCTTTGTTCATAGAATAGAAACAAAAGTACCCATGCCACTTATAGCTTTCCACTTGCCTGAAGGCAGAACAGAGGCACAAACCATGCAGGAAGAGAAGAAACCACCATAACCTCCATATAACTCACTGTAGGAGCCCCGGTTGCCCTACAACGTCTTCCCGAGGAGGACAGCCATGGAGGCTGCACTGGAGGGCAGCCTGTCCTGCTGGCAGGTTGCATGTGACGGTGCAACAGTCAGGAAACACGACCGCTCTGGGGCAGAGGCCTTTGGACACCTCCGTTCAGGGCTCAGGTATTTCCTGGGCTCATTGTTTGTAGATGCTACCTGATTCCTCTGCCCATTTTCAGGAAGGTGACTGCAGCTCAGGGACAGCTCTGTGACTGTCCTCATCTCAACCACACGTAATGGCAGAAGCAGATTTGAAGAGACAGTTCCTGCTCCCAACTTCTGTTACAGGAAACCTGCTTCATTTGGCTTGTCTGCTGCTCATGGGGCAGGTACCGGTGGGCAGTGCTGGGAGGGGAGCAGCTACAGGTCCCCATGGCCATGCTGCCATCTCCACCAGGGCCTGCAAGTGTCTTACTGCCCCGCCAGCACAGAGCTTTGAGAGTCTAATACCTGGAGCTGGGTGTGCAAGTGACTAATATTTCCCTGTTGGTCAAACAAGCTGCTAAACATAGAGCCAGAATCCAAACCCCAGAAGGTCCTGCTTTGCCATGCTGTCATCAACTGTAACACCACTGCGCTCACACTGTGGCCCAGCAAAAACCTGCATATCCAAGGCTTAGTAGCATGCCATAGCACTTTCTAATAGTTTTCATGCTTATGCAGAAAACATAAATCTAAGCACTGAGTCTGAAAGGTGTTTGCTATTGAGAAGGGAGAAGCAGGGGACAGGAGGGGCAGGTGGGTGAAGCAGAAGCATGGTCAGGTCACCTTTGTCATAGTAATTTGTCCTTGAATTTTCCCTCTGACCTCTTCCCACTTCCAATCCCCATGTGTTGGCCCACTTTTGCTTCTGGAAGCATCCCCTTTCTTTAGCCAGGACTTTGGCTTGTTGTCATGGCCCAGGCAGAGGGGCAAATGCCGCAGGGCTCAGCCCCTCTGTGCAGTGGGCCATTTTGGGTAAAGGAAGTGGCTCTCCTACTGCAGGGTGGGGGAAGGCTGCTGTTCTCAGAGGACTATTTCAGGGTCTGCTAGGTGAAGAGAGTTTGAGTTCTGCCTGCCATATACTCACTCCCTATGCTGAAGGTTGGGGGGGCAGCCAGAAAGTTTTAAAGCTCTAAAAGGAACAGGGAGGAGGTCTGGAGAAACTGACAAGTCTCCATAAGGCTCTAGTTAAAGAACATGACTGGCTTTTTCTGGAAGGCATCCAGACTCCTTCTCCATTTCAATGACATCTGTGATAATAAATGAAGATGTGGTATGGATGATCAAAGCTGCATACAACTGAAAAATGGTTCAAACCAGCCACACTAGCAGGGGAAAAAGACATTGTGACAACAGCCCCAGTGCTGAGTGGCCAGGGATGATGTGGTCTCTGTAGTGTGTCCCCCCAAATTTATATGCTGTCACCTAACCCCCAACATGATGGTATTAAAAGGTGGGGCCTTTGGGAGGTGATTAGTGCTCTTATAAAAGAGACCCTGGAGAGCTTGCTTGCCCTCCTGCCATGTGAGGAGACAAAGAGTAGTTGCAGTCTGCGAGCCAGAATAGGGCTCTCACCAGGACCTGAATTCCCTGATCTTGGACTTCTAGCCTCCAGACGGTGAAAAGTAAATGTTTGTTGTTTGTAAGCCAACCATTTTATGGTATTTTTGTAATAGCAACCCAAACTGACTAAGACAGGAGGTCACTGTTCAAGATCAAAACTCTTCTACTGAGAACCCACCAAGTAGATAATCCAAAAATGGATAATAGAGTTTCCTATAGCTTTGTTGTATGAATATGGACATGCTTAGCTTAGCCTGGAAAAGGTGATGATTTTACCAGTTCTGACCTCCCAAGACAAATAGCAAGGAGGCTAAGTGCCAGACTAGGAACAGGAAATGTGAGTTTTAAATTTTCTCCCATGGTATCTGCGAAAGGTGGGATTTCGTTTGTCTTGGGTATTAAATTTTCTAGGTGTCAAGGGGAAAGGGTGGGGTGTACAAGCTCCAAGGATGGTCCCCTTAGGGAGTGGAGTGAGCTGGTGCATTTGGGTGGGCCTACCATGTGGGTCTAGAGCAAGTGTCAGATTCAGTCTTCAGGCTGCTTAAACTGGTAAAGCATGCACCTTCATCCTTTCATTCATTTATTCATTCACTCGTTCATTTAATCATTGAACCAACAAACAATTGTTGAGTCCCTACTACGTTCCAGGCATGGTCAAGGTGCTAAGGATATGTTAGGTAGTAAAGTTAAAGATCCCTGCTCTTGTGGAGCTTACATGTTAGTGGGAGCAGACAGTTCACCATCAATAAAAGTAAACAAGTACATTATATGCGATATTCGAAGGTGACAAATGTCTTGAAATAATTATAAATCAAGCAGAGAAAAAGGGAATCAGTAGTGCCATGGGTGAGGCATTGCAATCTTAACTTGGGGGAGGTAGTCAGAGTAGGCGAGATCAACCTGGCCCGCAGAACCAAGCCCCAGAAGTGACTTTTACCTTCAAGAGAAACCGCTCCTTCTCACTTTTGATTTGCTGCTCCATCTCCTCATAGAGATGCTGGATTTCTTCATCATAAGCAGCAATTTTCCTGCAAAGATGGCAAAAGGAGAGTCTGATGAGGCCGACACTGAAATTCTTTTATCCCACAGAAGCAAGTCCTAGAGCATGGGCACCAGAACCCCACTGGATCTGTGGGTGGTGGGGTGACACTGTATAGGTCAGGTCAGTCTGAGCTGCAGGATCAGGTCCTCAGGATCAGCTGACTACAGAGGCCAGCAGGACCCTCTCCTCTTCTTCCTTCAGACCATCACTCCCGGCCATGCACATGCTCCTCAGCGAAGCTGCCCTGGCTCTATCAGCTTTATTTAACACAATTCCCTGGCCTCTGCTACACTCACCCTGCCTCCTGCCCGCTGACCCCCCCCCTCCCCTGTTTGTAGACTGCATAAAGTTGTGTGGGCTTCTTTCCTGTTCGGCTTCTTGGTCTATGTCATTCCCATGTTGGATGCATTCTCTCTACCTAGCTACATCAGCACCATCTGAACTGCACCATCAGAAGGCTCTCCTAGAATTGTGTGCTGAAGTTTGTGGGATACAAGCTGCCCTGGCTCTATCAGCTTTATTTAACACAATTCCCTGGCCTCTGCTACACTCCCCCTGCCTCCTGCCCGCTGACCCCCCCCCCTCCCCTGTTTGTAGACTGCATAAAGTTGTGTGGGCTTCTTTCCTGTTCGGCTTCTTGGTCTATGTCCTTCCCACGTTGGATGCATTCTCTCTACCTGGCTACATCAGCACCATCTGAACTGCACCATCAGAGGGCTCTCCTAGAATTGTGTGCTGAAGTTTGTGGGATACATACTTCTCATAAGAGCTCAAAAGATTGCATGATAATGACAACCACCACCACTACACCCCCTGCAAAAGAAGGGGCCACACCTGCCCAGGTGCGCATGCCCTCTAGGCACGGGGCCACAGGCAGACAGTATGAGACTGTGAGGCTGGCAAAGGCGGGAGTTATAATGAGATGTCCTCATCCCCACTCTCATCATCCTCCCCCCACTCAGAAGAGCCCCACAGGACAGGAAGGAAGCTCATGGGCTCCTACACAGTGAAAACAAAAGAGGCTGTGAGGACAAGGTTTGTAAGTCACCCTGGGGTTGTTCCTCGTTTTTTGCCCAGTAATAGATCCTCCTTCAAATGCCCCCACATTCAAACAGGAAGGATCAGGTATTAGCATTTGAACTGAGACTGGAAGTTATCACACTGCGCACAAACATTCCCAGGGTATTGTGTTTCTATGCCTTTTCTCTGACCTGCAGTGACAGGCCCCCTCTCTGCCCCTGCTCTCTGCCCTCGTTCTCTCCTATTAAAGGAACTCCAGGCTCCAGTGAACAGGCTGAGGTCACAGCTCTCAAGGTCTGTTTTGAGCATGTAACACACACACATCCTACAAATTTTGGCACTTGTCATCCTAAACTCAAATGATAGCAAGCCCCCTCTACCCTTAATTCAAGTAAGAAGACTTTAATAATTGAGGAAACAGTCCTAGTCTCAGTTCTAAGAGGTTCTGGGGAGATTTCTGAAGAAAACATCAAGGATGGGTATGTATTTATTCCCCTGAGCCTTCCATCGTTTTAACCCCTACCTCCCTATGTCCACTTGGGACTCTAATCCAGTGTCAGCTGTCCCAGCTGCTTATGATTGCACCACAGCCCACTCACTGCCCCTTCCTCTCTTGCTACCTGTCACTTGCACAGACTGAGCAATGACTAAGGAGCCATTTTGATTGGCATCCTTTAATTCTACAGAAACCACAAAACAGACGCAGAAAAAGGAACTGGTGTGAATCTCCATGGTCAAGGTCACTCATTAGAGCACCAGCCAAGCACCAGCCTTTCTTAGCTGTACATCCAGAAACCTGACTTTGAGTGAGTACAGCAATGGTCCCAAGATGTGCTCAGTAAAAGGTGACAGCTCTCCAAGACTTCCATGAGCTGCAGCCCTGTGTTTATCATTGTGTTTGACATCCTGGTGCAACAAATACCTTTTCTGCTAAGAGTAAGAAATCTGTTCTTGGTAAATGACAGGTGTTTTGGATGGTTACTTTTGTTCTTAGCTAACCCATGACAATACAAGAAAATCTTACAGAGAAATAAGGAACAAGAACACCTGCTGTTAAATGGGAACATCTAAGGAACAGAAATGAATACAGTTTGAAAGAACTTTCAAAAAAAATGGTCTTCTCTTGGTCCCAGGAATTATCTTCCTGTACGTGAAGAAATTCAGATGCTAGATGGCAAATGGTGTCAAGAAAAACTTTAGACAGCAATTTCAACTATATAAATACTGGAGAACTAATAAAGTGAGATGAGAGGAATTAAAAAATTAATTTGGCTCTGTGAAAGTAATACTAATTACAGTCATTCATATAGACTGTTTGCCATTTATGCCTAGAAACCATGCAGGGCATTAATTCTGTACTATCATTAAATGTGTTACATTAACTTTGCTCTAAGTTTTATTTGATTAAATTAATAAACTCTGTGCTTGTTTTTTGTGCTCACATGTCAGTTTGCTAGTCATGAAGTAATTTTGCAAACTGCTAAAAAAACAATTGGAGGGAAGGCAAATGTCACCTCTGAAAGGTATGCACTCCCGGCCCGCACTCACACAGGCTGAGTTCACTACAAAGAAGCGTTGGGAGTCCAGGTGGGCATCCGTGATCCTGGGCCCAACCAGACTCATACATGGAACCAGGCCTTTGGAAATGTGTTGGCTTGGCTGGCCTCCTGGGAGACTGCTCAGGCCTGAATGACTTTTGAGGATGCGCCCTGACTCATAACCAGCCTGGATCAGACACACGAGAAGCCAGATCAGGAGTCAGAGCCCTAGGGGCCCATCCCAGAGCCAGCTCACTTCCTCCATGTGACCTTGGACAAGTGACCTTAGATCCCAGGATAGCACCTGCCCTACATTTCTCCCAGCACTGTCATGATGGATGTCAAACAAGAGAGCAGGTGTGGAAAACATTTGGTACTACAAAGCCCTAAATCAATGTGGGGAATATTTATTATGGTAATTATTATCAGGGGCTATGGAGGGCAAGGACTGGCATTCCTCCAAGGGGAGGAGGGCCTTAGTTTCAAGGGCAAAAGGGTTGTTGGGATTGTAAGGGTCAGAGGCAATCAGGAAGATGAAGAATACAAAACTTAGTCAATAAAAACCTTTGTCAGACCAATCCATTAGAGACAAGGTTGTGTGAAAGTAGGAGCTGCAGAGCCAAAGCCTGCATCTGCAGGGAGCTGTGAGAGCAATAATAGCGAGAGACACTGAAAAGACCTATGCGCACAGTGTGTGTTGTTTCCGATGGGCACACCTTATTCTTCCATCCAAAGGAAAAAGTAACCAATTCTGTTTGCTTATTGTATTTATTTTTGTTCCCACGATTTCTAAAACTACTCTTATTGCTTGATGCATACAAGCATAGACTTTGAAATCTTCTCTGTGAGCCAATAGGTTTCCTCATCTATTCCAACCCTCACTGACCCCCTTTTCTGAACTCTTAGGACACCATACGTCTTTATTTGACATTTAATTTTTAAGTCCTGAAGAACTGTTTCATATGGGTTAATGCTGTTTTAATTCGGTTATAAACAATCAGACATTTATGCCACCCACAGGCCCTGTGCTCAAAATGTTAATGTTGAAGACTTTGGGTACCAAACTCAGAAACCCGTGGACCATCTTGGGGGAACACTAGATTCCAGGGGAATTGAAGAATTTCAGGATTGGGAAGTTTGTCTGATCCAACCACCTATTTTTCCAGTGTTAAAATTCTTACCACAATATCCTCACCAAGTATTTAACCAAACTATATTAGAACAGCTCCAGTGATAGGGGACTTGCTGGGTCTCTAAGCAACTCTTTCATCTTTGGAATATTCTAGCTCATAGAAATGTGTCTTCCTATGATTATAAACATCCTATCCATAAAAACCTTTCATATATTTGAAACAGCATTAAGACTTCAAGGAATAGCCCTGGGTTCAGGCCATGCCTCACCACTTCCTTAAATCATGTCTCATATGGATTTTTTTTTGTTTGTTTTGGTAAGTCTGCTCACTATTCTCTTTATGCCTTGCAAAATGGCCTCTAATTTAGCTCTCTCAAATCATGGAGCCCCAAACCAAGTACTCTGTGTATGAAGACTATTCAGTGCAGATTAGAGCTGGGCTATTGCCTCTCTTGTTCTTAATGCTGCATATCTATTCATGAAGCCTAACATCACATGCTTTTTCTTGGCATGACCCATTTGTCAACTAAAAGCTCTAAACTTTATGGTTGTGTGATGGTTTTTGTTTTAAAGATGGTGCTACTCAATCATACCTTTCCCACTTAGTGCTTCTGCCATTGGCTTTTTGGCTTTTGGCAAAATCTTAAATATAATTCTGTTAGATTTCATGTTTGTTAGATTCAGTCCATCTTTCCAGCCTGTCACTGTCTTAATGGTTTCCCACTGTTTGTTCAGTGTACTCAATGACCTTCCAAGTTTTGTTATATTTTAAATTTCAATCATAATGTAAGCTAAATAACTTATAATGTTGGTTTTGATTACTTCCTTTATCTAGAGTTATTTAGAAGACTGTTTAAAATATATAAACTGCCTACCAGTGTGGCTCAGTGGCTGAGAATTGACCTATGAACCAGGAGGTCATGGTTCAATTCCCAGTCAGGACACAGCCCGGGTTGCAGGCTCAATACCCAGTGTGGGGTGAGCAGGAAGCAGTGGATCAATGATTCTCTCTCCTCATTGATGTTTCTATCTCTCTCTCCCACTCCCTTCCTCTCTGAAATTTATATATATATATATATATATAAGAAATGCTTCCCAACTACCCCATGATTTTTCAGAACTTCCTTTTGCTACTTTTATTTCTAACTAAAGCTTATTTCAACTTCATATGTACTTTATATGATTGAATTTGAGTTGATTCATGATTGTGGAAGTGGCATAGAAGTGGGGAAATACAAAAAAATCACCTCCAAGGAGTCCACAGCTGCTTTTCCATTTCCTTCAATGATCTGCAGA